GTGCCACGCTAGTAGTAACAAGTGCCACGCTAGTAGTAACAAGTGCCTTACTAGCAGTAACAAGAAGCTAGTTTTGGGATGAGAAGTGCTCGGTTCAGGACAGTGTGTCCGATGAAGTTGGTCAGGGGGAAGCTGAGAGGTAGGGAGCCGGTGTGGTTGCTGCCAATTTGAGTCGTGCCAATCCTGCTCGGGTCAGTTCCTCCCTCCTGAGGTCGTGAGTCTCAAGGGGACGAGAGCTTTCTTTTGGTTTGGACCACCAAATGGACGACGCTCCGAAATGGGTTTTGCGGGACAGATCCAGTTTCTTTTGGAGAAGAAGAAAAAGTGGTGACCTTCCAGTTCAGCAAAGTCGGACGCCATGGAAACAGGCTTGGGCTCCAAGATGCTATCGGGGGTCGAAGAATGGTTTTTAAATTGACACTTCATCAAAGAAAGTCTGATGGGGTTTAAGTGAGGGAGGTTTGGATCATATACCTCACCCAAAAAAGGCGAGCTCATTCCAGCTCATTTGAGCTGGAAAGAGCTGTTTTGAGACAACAAGGTTTGATTTGTTTTGGTGACAGAATGGGTTGCAAATGATTAAATGGTTGACTGAAGCTCTGAGCAAATGAATCTCATTGAGGCCCGTGCCCTGAACAATGCAGTTCCGCAAGAAGGGAGACATCAAGACAATTGAGCCACATGGAAATGACTCACATGTCAGTGTGAGGAGGTCAGTGTCAGGAGTCTAGGTCAGTGTCAGTGTCAGTGTCAGGAGTTTAGGTCCTAAACAAACTTGACAAACACATGTACACTGCAACGGCTGTTCTTCAAATCTGAAAACTCTAATTCTAACTATTTCTCGCCAAACACGTTGATAATCATCTAATGTTTTGTCTCTTTTCCGTGTGGTCATCGTTTATGTTTGAAGGCAATATTCAATGCTGACCGCTTCAAGTCATATTCAACAAAACATCACATATTTATCATTTTTCCTCCTAAAAAAGTCTCGGATCTAAACCCCCCTGAGGTAGACCCCCCCAGGCTTCTTTTGACTTCAGAAGCATACCATTGGATTCTTTGCAGGATGCTCAAGTCTTGTTGATTTGTTAGATTCGTCTAGATGTGTCTATATGTACCCACAGGTATATGAAAAGTACCTTGTTTTGCAATTGGCTCGCAGTTGCAGTTTTGATTCCTTCACTCTGCGTTCCCGCTGCGTTCCTGCGCACTTCGCTGCGCACCGACTCGTGTGTTCTCCATCTCCGACCGAGGCGAAGCTCACGTTCCAAGCGTTGAGGATGTTCTTGAATCAGGAGATTCCTGGGGGAAACCTTCGGTTTTTCGCGTTTAGGGAACCTGGCAGGTGGAAATGTTTCGGAGAACAGGAGGGATCCAGGCGAACGTAGATCCGAACTGCGACGGCGTGTGTGTGAAAGGGTTTTGGAATGAAGGGTGGTGGAGCATGGGGTTGAAATGACACTTATGAGCTGGTGGATCACGAGCGGGTCTGATCACGACTGGAGGTTGACTTATGGAGACGCCCACGCTTTCATGACCCTATCCAAACATATCAATTGGTCACACAAGGCAAGTGGGGATCCACTCGATCCACGGGTTCGTTTACCCAGGAGATGCAGCAGATGGATGCTCTCCTCCATGCGGCCTGTGAGTCGTTCCTTGGTGAGAACGACTTCTTCGCTTCGGTCCCAACGGCTTGGACCTCGCCTGAAGTGCCTGAATTCTTCGGACCCACGCGGTGGACATGGGCGGACGACTCCACAGCCAGCTGGGCTGTCCAGTGGAGTTCAAGGGGTCGATGTTGGTTCAACGGCTAAGACTGACCAGACAAAGCAGTAGTGCATGCACCAGCGAGGTTTAGCAAGAGTGGCGACGATGGTAGACCATCATTGGGGTGTTTGAGTCAGTTTGTTCATAGCTTTAGCATGCTGTGGGGTTTCGGTTCTGAAAGATCCGAGTCGGGACGCTTCGGGTCCTGAGACCTTTGACTAGACGCACGAATCCAGCTCTTCGTCTCCGCAGTCCGGGGGAGACGTATCAATGAAAAAGATCGATTCGTATCAAACATCAAATGGTTTCCCCTGGTTTGCTGGTCTTTTTGGTCCCCTGGTCGCCTCATCCTTTAGTCCCCCTAGTTTGTTGCTTGCCGAGCCGTCCGCTCCCTTGGTCCGCCAGTCCCCCTGGTCCATTGGTCGAGTCCTTCGTCCCGTTTCGTCCTGGGCCCGGAGCAATGCATAACATTTGTGGGCCACGCAAGGGTAGAAATAGCAGAAAGGAAAAGGAGCCGTTCCATTTGTGGCTCACCCGACTTGAGGGTGTAATTTAGAGCGTGAAGGAGCAACTGCAACTTGGAGCCTACCTTTTGCGGCCCACCCGAGGGTAAAATGTACAGCAGGAAGGCGGAATGAGTTCCAACTTGGACGATACCCTTGGTCGGCCTCCCGCCACCCGTGGAATTGTGGTATCGTTGCCTTCTGGAGTGAGGATTCTGGCCCGCCTTTCTTCGTGGATCCATTTCGTTTTTTTGGCCTTGTTCGGTGCAGTGGAGACGGTGGTGATCTCAGCTAAGGCACTAGCCTTCAATCAAATGCGAGCACTCTACCACAGGCCATTATGGTCCTTGTTTCTGGCATGAGCACCTTGAAGATCTTGAAGGGTCTTGATGTTGATCTTATCGCTGCGATTCGAACTGTATGGACCAAGCCAGCGCATGACTTCGCGTTACCGGGCTTATCATGTCCACTGAATGCTTTCATTTTTTTGTGCAGTTCAATCCAGGCTGTTCGTGATGTTGTCTTCCATGCTACTGTGGTACCTCCGCAAGTTGAATGTGTGACAGTCCTTTTGCTCCGTGTTTCGATTGACCAACCAGGTTTGGTCGTGCCTTGTGCCTGCCCATTGGCCGCTCTCCAAGTTCTTTGGGAGTACAAGATTCAAGAGCACTTGTTCCTGTGGAAGGATGATCAGAGAATTCACGCAGCTTGAGCTTGCTCCACATCTCTGAACTTTCTGCCACTTGGTATTTGTATCTTGCCAATCGATTGCTTGCTATTCTCACATTCGGTAGCCTTTCTGTGCAACCTGAGTCTTCTTACATTGAGCCATGTGATGTGCATTCTGTCGACTCTTCTCCAAGCAAGACCAGTGAGCCCTCGCCCACTTTGACGTTTGTGACGCCGAGTGAGGGAAAAGCCAATGAATGCAGAGTGTCCTTTGCAGATGTGATCCATCTGTTGACAAATGCTTTCGGTTTGATTGCCCTGTCACCTCTGGCATCTTCCTGACGTGGTCTCCTTCGGGTGGCTTTACTCTTCCGGTTCTCGCAGATCCTGATTGTGTGCAACATATGAGCGACGGACAAAATTATTGGTTGACTTACAGTATTTAGTCACGGCATGACCCTAAACCTATGTTGAGGGCTTTGTTTCTGTGGAAAACGACATGGTCCCCAACAAAAACGATATGACTCCATAGACCTACCTCTCCACATTACTAATGTTTGTTCATGAACCGAGCTACTAGGTCCCCGCTTATGTGTCTTGCACAGCCCACTGCCACAAGAACCCAAGTGCATAAATCACGTGCTGTGCCATTCCTGTGCAGAAAGCACTGTAAGCCTCTAATCTGAGGTTGTGAGTTATGTTTTGTTTTAGTCTATGTGCCGATATGCTATGCTAAATATGGTTTGGAGAAACATTGGAGAACGATATGGACCTCACCAAAAACGATAATCATGTCAAATGGCATTTGGCTACACAAGGAATTTTGTCCGCTGCTCATATGTCTCCAGTGTTGTCTGAGTGCGCCCGTCTGCGTCTGACTCTCACCACTTGCACCGAGTGCCATGTGATCGTGTCGTCGTCCACTCATGACAGTTCTGGCTCTACCAAGGTGCTTATCTTGAAGTCTTCTTGCGCTCCGCCGTTCTTTGTGCTGCTTCACCAACAGCCGATTCAGTGCCTTGAGCTTATTGTCCAAGACCGCTTGTATAGTGTGAAAGCCCTGAATGGCATTCGCGTGGACCAGCCTTCTGAGCTTGCAAAACTTGATCATGGTCATGGTGATCTCATCGAAGTTGAGTATCACGGACCTGCTTCCATCAAAGCGGGCGGGCATCATGGTGCTTTTCCCTGTGTCCCTGCCAATTGGCGCGTCATTCCAATCTCGCTGTGAGTTCGCCATCAATACGGCCGTTTGGATCACTGACAAACTGTAGTATTTTGTTGAGCTTGAGCAATGGACTTCTCCAACTTTTGCTTTCTTTACTCCTCTTGTGGTCGATCATGCTTACCAAGAGATCCATTGTCAGAACTGCCTCACGGTGATTCTGGTTCTGTTCCAAGCCGGGCTGCCTTGGTCTTTCTGCATGTGATTGTCCAAAACGTTGGTTTGGCTATTGCTAGGATGCTCGACATCGCTCCCTCTCAGATCACTCTTCACCATGTGCCTCTCGCGATTCGTGAGCATTGGCTGGCGGCTTGCAGCTTGTCACTCTGTGGATTTTCCAGGCGAACCTTCTTGATGACATACCTTCGGCCAATGATGGATATGCCAAAACACCGTTGGAATGTCGACACTTGATAAGTTATCATTGCTGCGGTCGAGGACTGGCAGAGGATTGGCCTCCCTAGTCAAGTGTGAGCCCAGCCTTTGCAATAATTTCCTTTTTCCGATAAGATCATGGATGGAAGCTTGCCCTGTGCGTCTATGCGCCCAGGCTTGTTGATAAGGGAAAGTGTGTCGTCATCACCTTCAAGAAGAAGGAGTGTGATGCTGTGGTGCCGCTGGGCCATAAAACGACCTGGCAGAAACAAGCCCGGTGCTTCATTTTTTCGGCGTTTTTTGACGAAGAACCCCAGAACTGATGAAGCAATGATAGTAGCGGCCGCCCCTCTGAAGAGAAGGGGAAAAGCAAGGGAAATCGGAAGGAACAATGGAAGGGCCAAGGAAGAGTGTCAGATGGTAGTGTTGTACTGGAAGATTTCGGAGTAGGATGCAGCGGAGTTTGACTGGGAAGAACAGTTGAAGAGCCTAAAATGGACAATTCTTGCAGATTTTGAGACAATGCCAGGCACTGAATGGACGAGCAACTCGAGGGAACATGCAAGACCCAACTGGTGAGAAGAAGAAGGGCTTGTGACACACGCTCATTTTCTAAGAATTCCTATGCCAAGCAAGGACACCTAGGATCTTTTTCCGTTTGACAGAACAATAAATATCGAAACTCTTTTGTTTTTCGAACTTGTCTTTTGGACAACAATGTTTGGGAACCCTATAATTTGCGTTTTTGTTTGTGTATGCCATGGCTGTTGAAAGCAAAGCAACTGAATCAATGCTGTTTGGGGTCGATCTTGATGTATTCATGTGAAGTTTGCGATGACTTAACAATTGATCAGATTCGAAACAACTTTGGTGCAGGCTGATGCTGCACGGATTCCGACAGAGCTTTTGGCGCCACCCACCGGCATAGGCGTGTAAGTCTTTGCCGAGGGGTAGCCCTCTTAGCCTCCAACCTAATACTACAAGCGATGGCCTCCAACCTAGTAGCGAAGGCCTCCAACCCAATAGCCATGGCCTCCAACCGCCCTAAAACTTTAGCAGTTCCCACCCAAAGTCATGATACGTTTTGACTGTAACTCAAACCAGAGAGAGGTTCTGATTGTTCCCGGTGGTGTTCTGGACCTCATCGCCCAGCGATGCCCTCCAAAAGAGTCAGAGCCGAGGAAGTTCGTGCGGGAACATGAAGAACCTCAACTTGGACGTGGTGACTGCTCCAAGGAGAGGTTTCTGGAGCTCCTTGGACCTGTGGAGAATCTCGTTGAGTGCATGTGGTTCTCGGCCATTTGTTCTCTTGATCAAACACTCGGTTAGATTTAGATTCCTGATCAAACTGTTTGCAGGTTCTTATATACACATCCCTGGTCGACCCTACCGCCTACCTCTTGATGCGGAGGCGTTTTCTCTCAGAAATGCTCTAAGCTTCAACAAACATAGTCCATAGACACTGAGATGGCTGCTCAACTCAGACGTCTTGTTGATGGCTCACAGGAAACTTAGACCCAATGTCTTGCAACTTGTGCGTTGTCTCAAGTACAAAAGCGGGCTAGATTGATTATAATCTATATGATTGATTAACACACGAAAGTGTCCAATCTTGTTTTGGTCCAGTCTCCAATTGGTCGGGAGCACCAGCCGAGTGCGATGGCTGTGAAACATCAGCTTGCTTTGCCTGTACCGACGGAGTGCAGACTGCACCCGGACCATTTAAAGGGCATATCTAAGCCTAGCCTATAGGGACGCTACTAGGGGATCCTGGCCTTACTACTAGGAGCAAGAAGCTATTAGGGGCTCCTGGCATCGTTACGAACGGAGCGATCGGACGCTACGAACGGGGCTCCTAGGCATATCGGAAGACAGCCAGTCGGTCGGTCCAAGGTCCGGTTTTCACCGAGTGTCTCCATGCAGACCTGAGGTTGTACCCGCTGATGGGGAAAGACACGCCCTTTTGCGTCTCCATGGCGCGAAATCCCATCAAGCCAAAGCTGGAAGACATTCAGGCTGGCTTGCCGTTTTCGAGCAGCTTTCCAGTTCGAGGGAATTGATTCTGTACACTGTCGGCAACAAACTGCAGCAGGTTTGAAGAGACGCGCCTTCAGCTAGGGCTGGGGTTGTAAGGCGGTACTACCTATAGACATGAATCAACGACAAAAGGCTTGGGGCCATGGTGAAGGGTGGCTGCTTTTGGTCAGCCTTCTGGACTCGTGGTCTTGCTGAGGACAACCCTCGGACCAGATCTGCAGTGGTCCATGTGCTGGAGAAGCGACGGAGGACGGAGTGCGTCGACCGATTTTTTACTCTAGCCATCAATGATAGTGACAAGATTTGACGAGATTTAATTTCACATTCTCATACATGTTCCATTTCGGCTTCGCGTTTGAGCTTAAGCTTCAGCTCGGTCTCAGTCAGTCTTTTGACAGAGCTGGGGTTGCAACTGTGTCTCCTGACCCAGTTCCTGTGAGGATGCTGCCGAAGATCTCTCTGGAGGATGTCGTGCCGCGACCGGTGCAGGAGATTCACCGGGCCCATCTGTCCCGAACGGAGCGATGACTGAGTGATGGGGGGAAGGACTGGCCATGAAATGAAGACTCATGCACGTCTAGGTTGGAGGCCATCGCTACTAGGGTGGAGGCCATCGCTATTAGGTTGGAGGGTTTAGGGTGTATTCTCCCCCACTTTTGTCTAGAAAGGATGAACAGAAAACACCGGGAGGACATCGGTTTTTCACCTTGCGTCTTCGGGATCCGTGTCCATTCTCAGAGGATCCGTGTCCCAATCAGAGAGTCCTCCGCACGGTTGGGTTTTCTTCTCCTTCGCGGTCCAGTCCCGGGGTCCCGGGCTCCCGATCCGCAGGACCGCTACAAAAGACCGGCCTTCGTGCCGACCTTTGCTGGCGCTGTAGCTCGACGAAAGGAACCAACACAGCGCGATAGGAACCATCCGCCTCAAGCAGCGTGGGGTCCGAAGAGGTGACCGTTCGACGTCGTTTGGCCGGTGAGCAGCACCCTTCAGAGATGGCCGTTCGGCGGCGGCCTGAGTTGCACGTACTTTCATCATGAACACTTGAACACGTATTGATATTCACATTTATTCACCGATTTGTCCGACTTTTGTGGATTTTGCACTGTTTCCTCTCGATTCCCTTTTGCTCCTGTCCTTTGGGGCAATGAGTGCTTGGGATTCTTCTGTGAATGTCCAATCGAGTCAGAAGTCAGAAGTGAAGGTTTCTGGAATACATCTGGCTCATACCTCGAGTCACACCTTGTGACATTGTGTCTTTGGCAAGAAGGTTTACAACAACTAGAAGCAGTCCCTTTGATCCAAGACTTGCGTTGGTTTGCTTCAGTTGTTCTTGTCACACTCGGACACACCACGGAAACCAACGCTCCCAGAAAACAGTCCAAAGGCTGCTACCTTCCCTTGCGACAACCACCCAACCAGCACCTCTTGATCTCTGCCTGTACTTTCTTCCATGCCCCAGCCAATCTCAAGTTGCTGTTTGGATTTCAACTGGTCGAATCATTCACT